TGAGGAAAAGAGGAGAGCTCTAGCAGCATACAAAGCATGTCCTAGTGAGTGCAACTTGCAGGCTCTTTTGAGTTGCTCATAGCAAAGTCCAGCTGGCTGCCAGGAGATGTTCCAACAATTATCGGCTTCAGCTCTGCACTCAGATACACACAGCAGCGGACACAGGTAACATCAAGGGAATGTATGATGATATCAAGCAGGGTTTAGGTCCAATACAGAAGAAATGTGCTCATTTGAAGTCTGCTACAGGCTTGATCATCCAGGACCGAGCACAGCAGATGGAGCACTGGGTGCAGCACTACTCTGAGCTATATTCCAGAGAGAATGTAGTAACTGAAGAGGCATTAAATAACACTGAGTGCCCACCTGTCTTAGAAGAGTTGGACAGTGAACCAACTTTGGCAGAAATAAAAGAGATCATCGCCACCAAGCTGTATGAAACCTTTTGTCTTTGTTGGAGGGAAGGTGTAATACCACAGGACAAGAAGGATGCAAACATTGTCAAATTGTATAAGAACAAAGGCAACAGGGATGACTGCAATAACTACAGTGGCATCTCTTTTCTCAGCATTGTAGGGAAGCTGCTTGCCCGTGTTGTGCTGAAGAGACTCCAGGTGCTTGCAGACAATCCAGAATCACAGTGTGGATTTTGAGCCAATAGATCCACCACTGACATGGTATTTTCCCTCAGACAGTTGAAGGAGAAATGCAAGGCACAACGCCACTCTTTGTGGCTTTCATGGATCTTACAAATGCCTTTGATTTGGTTAGCAGGGACGGCCTTTTTAAAATACTTGCCAAGATTGGATGTCTACCTCGACTCCTTAACACCATCTGGTCCTTTCATGAGGAAATGAAGGGCACTGTAATTTTTGATGGCTCAACATTATATCCCTTTGGCATCTGAAGTGGAGTGAAACTGGGCTGTGTCCTCACACTGATCCTGTTTGGGATCTTTTTTGCTGTCATGCACACCTTTGGAACTGCAACAGAAGGTGTCTCTCTCCGGACTAGATCAGACGGAAAGCTCTTTAATCTCTCTAGATTGAAAGTGAAGAACAAAGTCCAGTTGAAATGCATGCGGGACTTCCTCTTCACCGATAATGCGGCCATTGTTGCCCAATCTGCTGAAGACCTCCAAGAACTCATGAATCATTTTATCAAGACCTGCCAATACTTTGGACTAACAATCAGCCTGAAGAAAACACAACTCATGGGCCAGGGCGTGGACTCACCTCCCTCTATTACCATCTCCATGGAAGAATTGGAGGTTCTTCATGATTTCATGTACCTTGGCTCAACGATCTCTGGCACTCTCTCCCTAAATGTTGAGCTGGATAAACACACTGGCAAAGCAGCTGTTCTCTAGACTCACAAAGAGAGGATGGCTTAATAAGAAGCTGATGGCATATACCATGATCCAGGTCTGTAGACCCTGTGTCCTGAGTACACTCCTGTACTGCAATGAGTCCTGGAATCTTTGTGCACGGCAGGAGAGGAAGCTGAACACTTTCCATATGCGTTGCCTCTGATGCATTTCTGGTATCATCTGGGAGGACAAAGTTACAAATTGAGTAGTCCTAGAATGAGTTGGAATTTTTAGCATGTATACATTACTGAAACAGCGACGTCTACCTTGGCTCGGGCATGTCGTGAGAATGGCTGATGGTTGGATTGCAAAAGATCTCCTGTATGGAGAATTAGTGCAGAGAAATTTTCCCAGAGGGAGACCACAGCTGCAATACAAGGATATCTGCAAGCGGGATCTGAAGGCCTTAGGAATGGACCTCAACAGATGGAAAACCTTGACACCTGAGCGTTCAGCCTGGAGGCAGGTGGTGCAGCATGGCTTCTCTCAATTTGACTTATTCAGCAGGCTGAGGCAAAGAGGCAGACCTGAAACCAGCAAAATCAGAGGGCTGGAAAGGGGACAGATTGTATTTGTCTTCAGTGTGGAAGGGATTGTCACTCTCGAATTGGCCTTCTCAGCCACACTAGATACTGTTCCAAGTCCTCTATTCAGAGCACGTTACCATAGTCTCTCGAGAATGAAGGATGCTCAATCTAATCTAATCTGAAACTCAAACAGATGAGCATCATTTGGGTTTTGGGGAGTTACATATTTCTTTCAGCCTAATATAGAAAGGCAGCCTGAATAGAGCCCTTCCACCAGAGTGTGGAAATGTTATTTTTTTGAATTACATGATCTGGAGTTCTGGGAGTTGCAGTCCAAAATAGTAACTTCTCCAAACTCCATTTTATCTGGTAAATATTAGAGTATTAATCCAGACCAAGTAGGATGCTCAAAAGGCAGCCTGATCATGCACAAAACATGGGGACTAGGTAAAAGCCGGAACAGGGCAGGATAGGATGTGGACTTCCTAATAAAAATTAATGCCAAAAAGTGTGGGATGCAATGGACAGACATCAAAACAATATTTTCAGCCAGAAGCCTAAACATTATTCTTTCATTAATCCTATGTTGCCCCCAAATCTGCCGGAACAGCAACTTCCAAGTAAGATAATCAAACCAAACTCACGGCACGTGTTGCCTTACTCAGAGGTCATTGTTTTAGACTAAGTTTGCTGTTGTGGTTGGTTTTTGGTTTTGTTTTTTGCAATATTTTCTGCCCAGAAAGTGTATATATTTTTTTTGTTTGACATCTAAAATATTGCATCTCACTGTTTTGGGCATCATTTTTTTTTATTAAGAAGTCTCCATTCTGCACTGTTCTGATCTGGTTTTCACCAAGCCCCCAAAACATGTGTTTAGCCTGGATTCCATCCCTGGAATATCAGGTGTTCTTTCTGTTAACTGGGTGTTCTACATTCTGAGAAAGTGTCATTTTTTCTCCCCTGTGGCTCATTACACTGGAAGCAAACAATTAAGCCCTCAGGCCTTGTGATTCTGGAGTGTCAAATCAGACTGATCGCTTTACATAACTTAAATCCCACTGAGGTTAAGGTCAGACAGTCAGTGGAATTGACTCTTCGCTGCAGAAGCCCAAAGGAATTTTATTGCCTGTTGTGCCAGTGCCAACACCGAGAGATTTTTGAAGCACCAGTTTCTGTTAAGCAGAAGACCAAATCTCAGCTCAGCTACTGCTCAGCATGTTGGAACCTTTTAAGAACCTCTCTTGAAAGACCTACAGGGACCAAATCAAACCACAGGAGCTCTTCCCGCCCCCAAAATGGGACTATAAAAGAGGGAATTTAATGTACCCCTCAGCACAGTGAAGACTAGGGTTTTGACATCAAATGTTCACAAGGTTTGCCTAATGATAATAACCTTTCATAGCATGCTGTCGTTCACATGCACACAACACTGTTAACTTTTAGATTTTTAAATATCTTCAGAGTGGTATAGATTTACCAGATGAGAGCATGCTGTCATTCACATGCACACAACACTGTTAAATTTTAGATTTTTAAATATCTTCAGAAGATGGATTTTTAACAGCTCAATGTGGGCATGGAGGTCAAAAGGTACACATAATAGGATGGGCACTCAAATCAAAGCCAGTCCACTCTGTACCCTATAGAAGACATACCAACACACTTATCCCTGAGTTTATGACATTTCCTGTGTATATCCAAATCTACAATAAAAATAATAAAAAAAGAAATATTGGGAAGGACACAAGTTGCTATGAGTGGGGTGTGGGGACGATGTACATGCAGAACCCTGACTAAGTGACCTATCTACTCAAAGCCCATATAGCAATCCTCCTTCCACAATCACATACTCACATGCCAACCTAATAATGTAACAATATTTCAGTCACATTTACACAGTGCCAGTGTGGCAAAGGTGTTAGACTAGGACGTAAGAGACCTGAGTTCAAACCCTTGCTTGGCCACAGGAACACAATGAGCAGTGGTAATGGTAGATCACTTTACATAATATAAATCACACATGCCTCAAAAATCATGCTAGGTTCACCATAACTTAGAAATTATGGTGACCCAAAAAACAACTTGATAGCACATAACAACAATGTTTAGCCAACTGAGTTGAGTGTAGTAGTAGTATATTCCAGAATGCAGACATGCTAAGAAGTGAAGCAAGTCTTCTTCACCCCCACAGCTCTGTGAAATGCCTGGTGGAGCAGCTGCAAGGGAACATAAATACTGCACTGTGACCTCCATCTGAGCCCTCCCTAGCATCTCTGTGGTTGGAATATCCAGGTGAGATCTTGAACTTCACTGAGAGATTCTCCTTTTGTTCCAGCTGTCTACTTTACTGTTTAATTTTTTATTTCATCTTCCCTCCATTCAAATCACTGACTGCCTTTTTAAATCTATAAATGACAAGACACTGAGGATCTATCTGCTAGGACACTGCTCTGCTCTTGGTGTGAAGAGTGAAGAAAACCCTATTGTATACCTATGCCTGTGCAACTCAAGTTTGCACCTGAGCAGTTACAATAGTGCAGAGGCAGAAATTTACTGTACAAAGCACTTCTGCCAGCACATTGAGCAATTGGTTGCACTGGGAACATGTTGTTGTTGTTGTTTAGTCGTTAAGTCGTGTCCAACTCTTTGTGACCCCATGGTACAGAGCACACCAGGCCCTCTTGTCTTCCACTGCCTCCCGGAGTTGGGTCAAATTCATGTTGGTTGCTTCGATGACACTGTCCAGCCATCTCGTCCTCGCTTGTCCCCTTCTCCTCTTGCCTTCACTTTCCCAACATCAGGGTCTTTTCCAGTGAGTCTTCTCTTCTCATGACATGGCCAAGGTATTGGAGCCTCAGCTTCAGGATCTGTCCTTCCAGTGAGCACCCAGGGTTGATTTCCTTTAGGATGGATAGGTTTGTTCTCCTTGCAGTCCAGATGACTCTCAAGAGTCTCCTCCAGCACCACAATTCAAAAGCATTAATTATTCGGTGGTCAGCTTTCCTTATGATCCAGCTCTCACTTCCCTTTTGTTTCTGACCATGGAGTTTTATCGGCAAAGATACTGGCGTGGCATTGCCAGTTCCTGCTCCAGGTGGATTGCGTTTAGTTAGAACTCTCCTCTCTGACCTGTCCATCTTGGGTGTCCCTGCATGGCATAGCCCATAGCTTCTCTGAATTACTCAGGCCCCTTCGCCACGACAAGGCAGCAATCCATGAAGGGGACTGGGGACATATGACTGCTCAATTGATTTGCACAATTCCATGCTGCTGAGTGTGACACCTGGTGCATCTTTACCAACATTACTTTACAGTATACCAGCATGAACAGCATTCTGCCCAGTTTTTCCTTTCACCTCCCCCAGTCATCTGTTGCCCCTGCAGATGGATGGCAAAGGCATTCTCCCTGTCCAGACCTCCTTGCTCTTCACAAGCTCCATGAGCCCGTAGGTCTAGTAGCTCTCAGTTGAGGCTCTCCCAAGGTCTACATGGCTGGCTTTGTTGGGATAGTGCAGTAGATGGTGGGACAGTGTGAAGCTTGGGACCTCTCTGGAACTAAACTGTGGACCAGTGTGGGGAATCTCTGACTGGTTTGGCCACCCCAGTGTTTCTTCTGACAACAGTGAGCATGGCATTGGTTCTCCAACCTGCAGGCTTCTCAGTAGCACTCTTTGTGCACTCCAGTGGCTTCCTCAGGGAACACCAGGAGGTCCACCCAATTGCCTGTATTCAGGTCTGCCAACGAACCACCTCCCAGGCCTCCTTTGAGTGGTGTCCAGTTGGTAACACTTCCTGAGCTTCACATGCCTCCCAGTCTATAGCTTCAGCCCAGAGTTCCTCCTCCCCTGTTTTCCCACTCCTTTTAAAATAGGAGCCCCACAATGGTCACACCTATAGCTTCAATCTAGGGTATCTCCTGTCTCCTCCTCATTGCAGTACCAATCTGGAAACTTCAAGTAGGGAATGCAACACTCAGACTTGCTGAAGTGGACAACCCACCCCTGTGGCTGGGGGAGCCCTCGCTGGTCTCACACAAGGCTATTGTAAATATTTTCTCCCTCTTTCTCCCTCTGTGTCTCTTTGTCTTCAATTTACTGTTTCTGTCTCTCTGAGAAGCATCAAAGTGCTGGACAAAACCTGACCAAAAACCCTGATGTTACTAATGTTTCCTGATCTGGAGCCATTTCAAGTTATTGCTGCGCATTGGCAAAAAGCAACAATGACTTGAAATGACTCTTGATTGTAGGTGAAAGACAAAGTACAAAAGCAAGTCTGCAGAACATGAAGAAGACAAAAGCCACGACTACAGAAGAACAACATGCCTTTAATATTGCCAGTGGAGAAATTGAAATTGCCAAAGATTTTGTATACCTCAGTTCAATTCTCCTTCCAAATAGAGACTGCAGTGAAGAAGTCAGAAGACAACTGAGACTTTGGATGGGCAGCTATGTCATAGCCCTACTGGAAGTTCCAGGATGAGACAGAGCTCCCCAATCCAAATGATGGTGGGAAGCCTACTGGCTACACGGATCTGGATCCTTGGGAGCACAGGAGGCTACACACCCAAGTGGAGAAAGTTCAGGTGTGGAGTCAGAAGGCTGTACCACCTCCCAGCCCATGGGAACAGTGCAGACTGAAGGCACAATTTTGGACTAAGCTGTCCAGGCGAAGTATTCCCTACAAAAAAAAGGAGGGGTGCTCCTATAAATAAAGTCTTCTTCAAGGGTTGGAGGTTCCTTGAGGAAGTATTGTTCCTCCCAGGCAGGTCAACTGTTCAAAGCCCTACAGCTGAGACTTCGTCCCAGGGAGACCATTTGTACAAAGGCCTGCTGTGAACGGGGCTCCAGCAACTCACTAATATATATCTCAGCTTTGGGACTGCCAGCTGTGTTTGTTGCATCCTGACCTTGTTGTGACTACGCTATTTTGTGTGACTTCACCTCTTCAATTCTACATCTCTGTTTACTCTTTGCAACTCGACTGGCTATACCTTGGATTGTTACTGGCTTTTGGCTCTGGATTCTCCTTTCTTGGCTAATGTTAAACTCTAATACAACTCTGTTTATTTCTGACCTTGGCTTGTTTTCTGGATTTCCCTTGCCTGGCTCTTGTATTGGTGATGCATCTCCTTATTCCTGAGATTAAACCCATTCAGGAAAAGGACATCAGCTGTGGAGGTAAAGTGCAAATATTGTGGAATTTTCCAGTTTTGCAAACAGCCCCCCCCAAAAAAACACACACACACTTCTATTTGTCCGTCTGTCCCTGCTGCTCCCTCTCTTCTCTGTCTTCCTATGCAGGCTCTTCCCCACTCCTCGTACTCTCATGCTCACACTCTCTACCCTTCCACCTTCCCTGTCCATTTTTCTGCCTCTCATCTTTCCCAGTTGCTCATTGCTCCTCTACTTCCTATTCCATTTGCTTCTCAGGGTTGCCAGTAAACTGACTGCTGGTGCAGGACACATTAGTCCTGTCAGTGCCACCCGTGACTACACTGATCCCCTGAGACCTGGACCAGCAGTGGTGACAGTGCTCATGGTTACAGGAGGCCCACCCATAGGCTTTCTTACAAACTGACATGAAAATGTGAGGGCAGGCAAACCGGTCTATGTTCCATAACTGGGGTGCTTTAGCTCACTGGTTCTTAACCTTGGGTTACTCAGGAGTTTTGGACTCCAACTCCCAGAAGCCTTCACTACCAGCTGTACTGACTGGGGTTTCTGGGAGTTGCAGTTCAAAAGCATCTGAGTAACAAAGGTTAAGAACCACTGCTTTAGCTGAAGAAGTTCATTTCCCTGGCTCACTTTATTAAGTGGCAATCTTACGTTAGGCCTCTGGGGAAAAAAAAGATTATAATATTTGATCACATGGGAGAAGGTTAGCTTGCACTTAAACTAGGTCCAAGTAGCTAAAGCTTTTAATGATCAACACCAGAACTTTAAACTGGACTCAGAACTGATCCAGAAGCTGCTGCTGCTTCCTCTGTGACATCACAAAGACTTAGATTATATAATAAAGACCTTCATCTGTGACATCACAAGGTCTCACTCCCCCTCATCTCAGGTTTCAGCCCTGAAACCTCCAGGAATGGAATGACAATACTACAAATTACAGTGGTGCCCCGCTTAACGATTACCCCGCTTGATGATGAATCTGCTTCACGATGATGTTTTTGCGATCAGCTGAACTGGATTCCCAGCCCATGGTCTTGTGAAATACAATATTCATCTACAGAATCCAGACCTGTATATTGAAGTGAATATAGTTAAAGAGAAATGTTATTCACCCCTCAGCTTTTCTTGTTTCAGATAAACTCTTTCAGGAAAAGCAGAGAGGGCTATGGCTCCTGGGTAACTCAGGTCCATGATGTTTTTGCGATCAGCTGAACTGGATTCCCAGCCCATGGTCTTGTGAAATACAATATTCATCTACAGAATCCAGACCTGTATATTGAAGTGAATATAGTTAAAGAGAAATGTTATTCACCCCTCAGCTTTTCTTGTTTCAGATAAACTCTTTCAGGAAAAGCAGAGAGGGCTATGGCTCCTGGGTAACTCAGGTCCATGCTGTTTTAAGTTTCAACTGGGGGGAAAAATAGAAGCCGCTTCCTGTCATCCCTCTTGTTTTAAAACAAAAACAGATCAGAATCCACTTACATATTCTTGTGAGAAAGCTGTTTTAACTGGGGGGAAAATAGAAGTCGCTTCCTGTCATCCTTCTTGTTTTAAAACAAAAACAGAGCAGAATCCACTTACATATTCTTGTGAGAAATAATGCATCGAGCTTTTGACAGTATAATTCAAAGACCATCTCTGCTGCAACCAAAAGATGACCCAACAGAAGAAAATGGGTCAAAAAAAATCTTACCCCACTTCACTCAACAACACAACTTTAAAATGTTGGGTGAGTTATTGGCTGAAAGGCTTCTTTAACGGCAACCAAACATTTATTTATTCTCCAGTTACTCATCCTTGAATTCAACATTCGCGCATAAGAAGAGCATAAGAAAAGCACTATTCTCTATTTTGCTTCTTTCAGGTTCTATTAAAACTGTAATAGCCTGCTTCCATTATACCTCTCCCCCCCCCTTATGTGTTTCTCTCTCAAAATGTCACTTTGCTGCTGCTCCAGAAGTGCACTTAATATTTTCATTAAAATCAATAAAGCCAAGAAATGACAAGGGTGCAGGTGGATGCAGGCAATTAAATTCCTCCTGTATGTATTGTTAAC